AAAGAAGACCTAATTGGCCGTCAACTCCGATAAATCTCTCAAGGCCTATATTACATATCGTTCTAACTTGACATTGCGAAATGGATGAGAACTCCCTAATATGGAGAAGACACGCTCTAATCGCAGCTCATTCTGTCCCAATTCTTTGAACTGACCCCCTCTTGGAGGCGACATAAGGGGTCGAGAGGTAGGGTAAGGGGTAGATCCTTACTCCAAACTTCAATAACGAGATTGTCTAACCCAGAATAGATTTAAGAGCTTGAGTAATGCTGAGTGCCGCGTTAGACAAAAGACACGCGGTGTAGTGTTAGTTGTTTTTTTAAATACGAGCTTCGCGTTCTTAGTAAATTTGATCAAGTTTGACCAACATTACCGGGTAACAACTTAACGCATAGGAAGTCACAGCTTGAAGCAGGTCGTATTCATTTTCCTAATTTTGCGAAACCACGGATTTCGTATAACTATTTTTGACTCCACTGAGGAAATCACTTGGTTTATAACCGAAATATATATATATCAAGAGGTGACGCCAGAAGGAAGCTCATCATGTTTTAGACTGTGGTTTCACTTTCACAACTATCAATACCCAATCAGTTAAGTCGGTTGAAAAATTATTGTGATTATCATTATTAATTGGAGCAAAACTTATGTATATCCAAACTTACAGAAAATTGTATCAACGAAGAATTCGAAACCGTTGAAATAGTTGAAGCAAAGTACGCGGCTTGGTTTTGTACTAAGGGAGCATGATCAGTTAAAGGCAAGATTTTCGCTACATATTTTTCACATTGAAATGTCAAACGACGGCACAATGTTGATATTTTACATTTATTTTTAAAACGACAGTATCAAGGAAGTTGTATTAAAACTATTTTGTTTTCAGGAATGGAGGAAGGCGAGTTCTCGGAGGCTCGGGAAGATCTCGCGGCACTTGAGAAAGATTATGAAGAGGTTGGTCTCGAGTCTGTAGAGGAGAACCAGGATGAGGAAGAGGGTGAGGAATACTAGTCACCTGTCCCCACGGCCGGAAGTCCCAGTTCCGGAAGCGGAAGTGGAAGCAAATGCCAATGCTCAAACCTCAGAAGCCTTCGACACGACCTAGTGCAATGCGCCGCCTATGCAATTCGCCATCATTTTACATAAATATGATTTTTACTGCATGTAGATGTATTCATGCAAAACCAATTTACACTTTTTCAAAACAATTTTACACTTTCTAATATTGTAACTGGGGCCAAAAGTACCAGTTGATATTTATTTTAATTTATATGCATTTATTCTATTTTGTCATTATGCGCGTGCCTGCGTCGATATACATTGTTTTGTCCTTACCTTGTTTTATGCTGTCACACTTACTGTTCAATACACATCTACAAATTAACAGCCCACTCAACAATAAAAAACCGTGATAATTTATTCAGCAAGGCATATCAAACGACGCTTTGGGTAAACTATGGTGAAAACAATTATGTTCATTTGAACTAAATCAGAGTGAAGATCGATTGTCTGTACACTGTGCTTTATTTATGGCGTGACCTGTGACCTTAAGTGTGTTTAACACGACCTTGACCCTCCGAACCAGTTCGTATCTTATTTCTCTCCAAAGTCATCATTTCAACACAGGTTAGAAATTTATGTTAATATTCATGTGATAAAAGAAACATACGTTTTATGAAATTGTATTTGTTTGAAATTACTCAAATATCTGTGATGCACGTGGCCTTTGCTACAGTAAAATTCATGAGTATGTTTAGCAATCATTTTCTGTAGACGCGTGGATACGAGTTATAAAAAATAAAACATTTGCAATATATTTTCCTTGGTTACTTTTTCCGTGTGTAGATACCAGGTCAGATCAGGTCCACGGCACGGCATGCTTGTCGTGGATCGGATGGCTAGGGTCTGGGACCTGGCTGTGGGCGTGTCATGTTGCCTCGTTGACGTTCATCGTTGTTCACGCTTTCAGTCACTTTGTCATGAATCTATGGTCGTGGGTTCGAATCCCGGTTCGCCCTGATTATGTTATGGTTTGTCAGCACCATACCCGTGCTCGTGGGTTTCACCAAAGTTGTAAACGTCTAAGACCTGGATCACTTCGGGCTTTCCTTCCACACTAAGCTGACACGCCGTGACATAACAGGAATACTGTTCAAAGCGAATCACTCAGTCACTGGTGTACTTGGGCCAAGTAGGGGGCACGGGTGGCCCAGTCGTCTAAGGCGCCGCGATTCGCTGAGCAGAGTTGCGTCCCTTGGGCACGCCAGAACCCTATGATTGTGGGTTCGAATCCCGGTTCGCCCCGATTATGTTTCTAGGTTTGTCAGCACCATACCCGTGCTCGTAGGTTTCACCGAAGGGGTAAACGTCTGAGACGTGCATCACTTGGGCTTTCCTCCCACATAAAGCTGACACGCCGGGATATAACTGGAATAGTGTTAAAAGCGGCTTTAAAGCCAACTGACTCCTTCACTTGGGCCAAGTTTGGTTATAAATAGGTCAAGGTGGCATAGTTTGAATATTGCCAGCTCCGGTGTAAAACAACATTCACTCACTCACTGTACTACAGGTTAAGGTATATCATATCACCGAATGAAACCTACTCGATGAACCAGGATAACTCGCGACATTCCACTTCCGTATTCAACAATGGGGCGCTACAGAGGGTGACGCCGAATGAGGAACGTGAGTCCAGTTGATATATCAACAGTCCTGATCTTGATATGTTTTAGGCATGCAACATGAGGATGTCATCTATTGGATGACTCCACGCCCTGCTACATTAGGATGGATGGAGTAGGGGACACCATCACAATACACCGCAGTCTGATCAGACCACACGGTTTTACGGTACATGGCACAATGCTATTCGATACTTTGTAATTGTTTTCTGAAAACCCTTCATACTTAATCGTTCTTACGTTTTGGATCAGTTAACAGATAATAATACATCTCCATTCCTCTTATCATGAAACTACACTTGACATTGATGTCAATATTGATAAAAAAAGGCGTCAATAATGGAAATGGTGCACATTTTCTTCAGTTTGGTTATATTTCAGTACAGAAATATACGTAAAAGATATACTATTTGTGAACACTAAACGACTACAGTAAGCTATTGGCTGCCAAATGGGTTATCCAAATCAGATACCTAATCAAAATCGAGTGTCTTGTAGAATACAGTTCAAGGTTATGCCTTTGAGAACATTGACAGAAAGGGTTGCTCTTCTGTGAGGTAACAGTACATCTTCTGTCAGCCACTCCCTTCCCCTTAAGCCGTGTCATGAAAGACAGTTGTCTAGACAGTGCCATATACACAGTTCCATCTGGACACTGACATTTTAATAGTGACGAAAGACGATCTTATGTTAAAAGTAATTTTATTGCAATCTTATATAATCTAAACATAAGATGATATTGTCTGACAAACATTGTCCGGATGCATGCACAGTACGTTCCTTGTTATTTACGACAGAGCACGTAAACAAACGAAAGCGAGAGGTTGGAGTTTGAAAAGTGATACATCATCTTATTTACATATAACACGATAACAAAATAGAACGTTCCGAATTAATGTCAGTTCTAGGTGACACTCCCAAAATGATTCTCGAACATATCATGTCCCAACCGCTTCACCAAAGTATCTTGTTGAATACCTGCTGACTACCTATAACGATACTACCGTAAAATGTAAGCAAGTCCACCTCATATATATACCAGGGGATTTGAAAGAAATCGTCAATTCAAAATTCTCAATTATAGAGATCTCTGGTTATCTCAAATGACTCGTTCATAAAGGATTCCTGGTTATCTCAAGTGACTCGTTCATAAAGGATTCCTGGTTATCTCAAGTGACTCGTTCATAAAGGATTCCTGGTTATCTCAAGTGACTCGTTCATAAAGGATTCCTGGTTATCTCAAGTGACTCGTTCATAAAGGATTCGTGGTTATCTCAAGTGACTCGTTCATAAAGGATTCCTGGTTATCTCAAGTGACTCGTTCATAAAGGATTCGTGGTTATCTCAAAGGATTCGTTTATGAAGGATTCCTGGTTATCTCAAATATTTAGGTTATATAAATGCGCGGGTTATCTCAAATGACTCGTTCATATAGGATCCATAGTTATCTCAATTGACTCGTTTACGAATTATCCCTGGTTTTCTGAAAGAACTTATTTACAAAGGATCCCCGGTTATCTGAAAGAACTTGTTTACTAAGGATCTCTGGTTATCTCAATGTTCAGGGGGCACGGGTGGCCCAGTCGTCTAAGGCGCCGCGATTCGCTGAGCAGAGTTGCGTCCCTTGGGCACGCCAGAAACCTATGATTGTGGGTTCGAATCTCGGTTCGCCCCGATTATGTTTCTAGGTTTGTCAGCACTATACCCGTGCTCGTGGGTTTCACCGAAGTGGTAAACGTCTGAGACCTGCATCACTTCTGGCTTTCCTCATTAAGCTGACACGCCGTGATATAACTGGAATACTGTTAAAAGCGGCGTAAACCCATCTCACTCACTCACTATCTCAATGTTCCCTTGTTGTCATAACTGTTTTGACTATTACGCCTAAAGGAATCTGCATCGGCATATATTCGAGACTGCTTTTTCTCAAGCGCTGACGTTTTCAATGTACCATATTACCCATCCTGTTACATATCCCTCTTGTTATACAACGGACTCGTTATCTCAACGTTTCCTTAATATACTTTCGACAAAAACACGCCAAGTTTATATAAAGTCAACACGAGCTTATTTTAATTTCCACTAAGACAGTGATGACTAATCAATCGAAACAAGGCCATTTGAAAGAGGAAGTTTAGTTTCAATATGGCGACAAGATCTTCCTGCCATGAATGTCCATTCTCACCAGAGTATGATGTGTTCCAATAATAATAATAATAATAATAATAATAATAACAACAACAACAACAACAACAACAACAACAACAACAACAATAATAAAAAATAATAATAAATAAATAAAGATTATTATTAGAAGAAGAAGAAGAAGAAGAAGAAGAAGAAGAATTGGATTCATTGTTTGATTAGGGGTGCGGATGGTTGATTTGTTTGTTGTTTAACGCTGCACTCAACAATATGACGACGGTTTGTAAACAATCGAGTCTAGACTAGACAATCCAGTGATTGATATCACGAGCATCTATCCACGCAATTGGGATCGATGAGATGCATCAACCTAGTCAGCGAGCCTGACCTGCCGATCCCGTTAGTCGCCTCTTACGGCAAGCATGGGTTGCTGAAGAACTATTTTACCCCGGATCTTCTAGGGTAGGGTGAGGATGGGGATTGGTTTGAGGGTGGGAAAGTGGGTCAAGGTTGGGATGAGTTGGGAGTATGAATGATGGTAGCAACTGGGTTGTGGTTAACGGGCGGCTTTGAACTAGTTGGATGGTAGGGTGAAGAGTAAGGATGTGGGTGGAGCTGAGGTTTACAAATAAGAGCCATATGTAGAATGAAGGGTAAGGATAGCGAGGCTAAAGTTCAGGGTGTGGATTTATATTTTTTTCCCGGGGGGGGGGGGGGAGGAGTCGTGGATGCTGGCCAGTCCTCTGTCAGGTCAAACAGTTCATCCCCTGATATACAACAGTTAGTAAGTAGTACATCGGGCTCTGTATTCTGAAGAATGGAGTGCAACTTGTGTATTCCCTCAAATAATCCATCGTATACTTCGAGGGATAGCATGTTCAGCCGACTATGAAATGTTGTATGTCACTTGGGAACCGCTGTTATTCGTGCAGTGATCGATGTGACCTTGGCAACCCTCAGGGCTGACCCATGACCCGGTGTGTTTTATTTGATCATGATGTTGTCATCGTGGATGTGGTCGTAGATGGGGTTTGTTTTCGAGATGGGGTGTGTGCCGTCAACTGGTTTCAGGTCAACCTTTGTCGAGAACACTGCAAGAAAGAACAGAATGCCACGTGGTTATCTTCAGGTTTGACCGCCGTCATATAGCTGGAATACTGATGAATGCGAAGATGAACAACAAACAAAGAGTCCAGATATTCGTGCTTGTCAAGACTCCTTTATCCACACAAGAAGATCTTTCACCGTTCAACGGCTCTTCAGGTGTAATGAAAACTTTAACTTACAATGTAGTCCTAGACGACGCAGTAGTATTTGTGGCGTCATACAATATATATATATATATATATATATATATATATATATATATATATATATATATATATATTGTGTGTGTGTGTGTGTGTGTGTGTGTGTGACCTCCCCAACATCACCACTCCACCTCCACCCCCAACGACACTCAAAGTTTTTCCTCAACGTCATGGTTTTCAATCTGACACTTCCCACCCTAATGTTATTCTTCTCCCTACGTTATTCCGCCCTACCCCCCCCCCCCCAACGACACTCAAAGTTTTTCCTCAACGTCATGGTTTTCAATCTGACACTTCCCACCCTAATGTTATTCCTCCCCCTACGTTATTCCGCCCTACCCTCACTATCCATGTCATTCCCCATGATATTTATTCCCCCATCCTAACCCCGACACACACGCTAACCCAACTCTCCGAGATAATCACCCACCCCCCAGAACTACATTCCTTACCCCAACCAGTGCCTCCTGTCGGTAGAGTATAGCCTCCCTCCGGCAGTTGTTTCCTCAATGTCTGCGGGGAGGGGAGTTCCTGGTAGTGGTTTGAATCCACCACAGCATTGCCCAACCTGGTAAATAAAAATGTCAGTTTCCTCAATAACTTTAACTATTCCCAATCGTTGACCAGTCAAAAATAAAGTACGTTCGACAACTTTTACCGATGACATTTTGCCGAGAAAACTTTATAATTTATATTTTTATACATTAAGGAAAATATTGTCGTGTTAGTCGGACTGCGCATGTCCCGGAAGCTGTCAGCCAGCAATGCTTCAGGGATGTGATTCAGACTGAGTACATGAATACATCCCTTTACATTTGTTTTGATGTTGTTGAAGTAGGACGTGCCGCGTCGCTGAATTTTATAAAAAGGATGAAGCAGGAATCTAAATGATAAAATTTATTTCATTTCCTTCCAAATTTCCTGTCTAACGGAACACAAAAAAGTATAACTATATAAAATATGTGTTTGGTCAGGATGTTAAAGTTTGAAGTTGAAGAATGGTTTCACATACCGCTGTGTGGAGGCATACGGGCAATCCAGCGCTGCAGTGACAAAATAAAAATAAAATAATATGCTACCTTAAAAGGGCTTGAGATAATTGCCGCAGTGAAAGAATAACAAGTTATAAAGTACCTTCATCGCGACATGTTATAACTTACCTTCATCGCGACATGTTATAACGTACCTTCCTCGCGACATGTTATAACGTACCTTCATCGCGACATGTTATAACGTACCTTCCTCGCGACATGTTATAACGTACCTTCATCGCGACATGTTATAGCGTACCCTCATCGCGACATGTTATAACGTACCTTCCTCGCGACATGTTATAACGTACCTTCATCGCGACATGTTATAGCGTACCCTCATCGCGACATGTTATAACGTACCTTCATCGCAACATGTTATAGCGACATGTTATAACGTACCTTCATCGCGACATGTTATAACGTACCTTCATCGCGACATGTTATAACGTACCTTCATCGCGACATGTTATAACGTACCTTCATCGCGACATGTTATAGCGTACCTTCATCGCGACATGTTATAGCGTACCTTCATCGCGACATGTTATAACGTACCTTCATCGCGACATGTTATAACATACCTTCATCGCGACATGTTATAACGTACCTTCATCGCGACATGTTATAGCGTACCTTCATCGCGACATGTTATAGCGTACCTTCCTCGCAACATGTTATAACGTACCTTCCTCGCGACATGTTATAGCGTACCTTCCTCGCAACATGTTATAACGTACCTTCATCGCGACTTGTTAAAGCGTACCTTCATCGCGACATGTTATAGCGTACCTTCCTCGCAACATGTTATAACGTACCTTCATCGCGACATGTTATAGCGTACCTTCCTCGCAACATGTTATAACGTACCTTCCTCGCGACATGTTATAGTGTACCTTCATCGCAACATGTTATAACGTACCTTCCTCGCGACATGTTATAGGGTACCTTCATCGCGACATGTTATAACGTACCTTCATCGCGACATGTTATAACGTACCTTCATCGCGACATGTTATAATGTACCTTCATCGCGACATGTTATAACGTACCTTCATCGCGACATGTTATAACGTACCTTCATCGCGACATGTTATAACGTACCTTCATCGCGACAGGTTTTAGCGTACCTTCATCGCGACATGTTATAGCGTACCCTCATCGCGACATGTTATAACATACCATTATCACGAGTGATATAACGTAACTGTATTTTCCTTTACGTTACATATAGAACCTCCTCTGCTAAGGCATTTTATCACGACGTACCTTTATCACAAGTTATAACAAGTTTCATCACGCAAGTTTTAACACCGTACATCAGTATAACTGGCCATGTCATGAGGTGTCAGTATGCTATCGAAGTGAGGTGAGGTGAAATTGAGTTAAGAAATTAAGATTATTGCACTTATATAGCGACGTGCATGCACGTGTGTGTGGTTGCTTATGCTAGTCCGGACTGATGTCGATTTATAGTGCTAGCTCACTGAGATACCATGCAGCAGTTTAACATGAATACCCCACTCAGACACAGTATACTGACTCTGAGCCGACCAGTCCTTGTTTCAGACTATTAATGCCGAGCGCCAGACAGGGTAACAACAAGTACCACCTTTTAACGTCTTTTGGTATGACGCGGCCGGGGATCGAACACCGGACCTTCCGCTCTCCGGGCGGACGCTCTACCACTAGACCACGGAGGCGGTCAGTATGCTATCGTAGATGAATTATGAAACACGCTAATGTATTCTTCAAACGTCAACTCCCGAGACCAATCAATCTTAATTATGTGACGAAAATAAATATTCCATTGGATGTGAAAGGCGAATAGTGATTTAACTTAAATGATTCGATCATTGAAAATCATTGATGACACCATGTGTTCGCGAATCGGGTTCCTCACATAACACAATGTTCCTAAAAGAGTAAGTGTAAGTTGTTTAACGCCGAACCCAGCAATACTCCTGCCAAACGTGTACGACGTTGGCCTTAAAACAATCAAGTCTGGACCAGACAATCAGGTGATCAGTATCATGAGCAATAATCACCGTCGTTGTGGAACAACCCTACACACAGTCCACCAAGTCACCAAGCATGACCACTCGATCGATTAAATTAAGTGCCAGTGAGTAAGGGTGTCTGAAAAGTACATCTAATGGTCATAGATCATGACGAATCAGTGATCATAAACAGAAAGAGTCTGGGTTTCATCCAACGAATTCCGGGCTTGGCAGATCTTGACACAGCTAAGGGACGCAACTCTGCAAGCTTTCGATGCCTTAAACCGGGCATTTCGTTCTGTATGTGATGTTTAATGTGGCATTAAGTAAAATTAGAACATTTATGGATTGACTACCTACAATATAGTAAAAATACAGTAAACTACGGTTATAACGAACACGTTTATAACGAAATGACCGATATAACGAACTTATGTTTAGTCCCGCCCATTGGTTGTTTATATGCTGTATATATGCTTATAACGAACTATGGTTATAACGAACTAAAATTAGTGGTCCCTTTGAGTTCGTTATAACCGTAGTTTACTGTAGAGTTGACAGTTATCAGTGACGCGCATCCTGTTTCCCTGAAAATCCGTTCTTCCTTCCATAACAATTGCGGTCAGCAGACATGCCCTTGTTCTAAATGCACTTTTATGATTACAAATTTTACATTTATTTTGTGTTGAAATATAGCATTTGTACGTGAAGATAGGTTGGCTTGTTTGTTTGTTGTTTGCTGTTTAACGCCGTACTCAGCAATACTCCGGCTATATGACGGCGGTCTGTACATAATCGAGTCTGGACAATCCAGTGATTGACATCATGAGCATCGATTTGGGATACGATGACATGCATCAACCAAGTCAGCGAGCCTGACCACCCGATCCCGTTAGTCGCCTCTTATGACAAGCATAGTCGTCTTTTACGACAAGCATAGTCGCCTTTTACGACAAGCATGGGTTGCTGAAGACCTAGTCTACCCTGGATCTTCATGGGTTGGTAAAGCGATTGATATAAGCAAACCTTTAAAGTTCAGAGATGTATTGTCAAGACGGTTGACTTCGGTTTAATCGACTTCGTTACACGCGGAGTTGACTGAAGGATATTTACCTCTTTTCATCTCCTTGTACTTTCTGCAGAAGACGACGGCAACGACGGTGATGGCAAGCAACATGGCAGCTGCACCAGCAATGACACCGATCCTCAATATCGACATTTCTATAAATAGAGACAGACGTTATTTGTCGATCACACATGAAGGTCGTTGTAGGTGGGAACGTCTTGTTGAGGGTTCCTTAGTCAGGACATGTGTGCATGATGTGTCTTCATAACGCACCTTCATCACGATATATTATAACGTATCTTCCTCACATGTTATAACGTACCTGATGACGACATGTACCTTCAACACGTGTCACGACGTGCCTTTTTCAAGGCATTTTATAACATACATTCATCGCGACATTTTATAACCTATCTTCGTCGCGACATGTTATAACGTGCCTTCATCGCGACATGTTATAACGTACCTTCGCCACGGCATGTTATAACGTGTCTTCATCGCGACATGTTATAACGTACCTGGGCCACGGCATGTTATAACGTGTCTTCATCGCGACATGTTATAACATGCTTTTATCGTGACATATTATAACGTACCTTCATCACATGTTATTACATGCTTTTATTGCTAAATGTTATATCGTATCCTCACCGAGACATGCTATAACGTACCTTCATTGCGACATCTTATAACATGTTTTATCGCGACATGTTATAACATGCCTTCACCACGACATGTTATAACGTGCCTTCACCACATGTTATAACATACTTTCACCACGACATGTTATAACATACTTTCACCACGACATGTTATAACGTGCCTTCACCACGACATGTTATATCGTACCTTCACCATGACATGTTATAACATACTTTCACCACGACATGTTATAACGTACACTCACCACATGTTATAACGTACTTTCACCACATGTTATAACATACCTTCACCACGACATGTTATAACGTACCTTCACCACGACATGTTATAACATACCTTCACCACGACATGTTATAACATACCTTAATCATGATATGTTATAACATACCTTCATCATGATATGTTATAACATACCTTCATCATGATATGTTAGATCACTCAGAATATCATAATGAACCTTCATCATCTGTCGTGAGAGCATTTGAACTTTGCTACTTGATGGGACAAGCCCTTCTCACTAACACCTTCTGACGTAATATGAGCAAAATAGGCCGTGTTACAACGTGCCTTCATAAGTTGTGTCAGTTTGTTGTTTAAAGCCGCACTCAGCAATATCCCAGCCAGATGACGGCGGTCTGTAAATAGTCGAGTCTGGACCAGAAAATACAGTGATTGACATCATGAGCATCGATAAACGCAATTTGGGATATAAAGAAATTCATCAACCAATTTAGGAGCCAGGCCGCCCGATCCGTTAGTCGCCTTGTTCGACAAGCACTGGTTGCCGAAGACCAGTTTTACTCTATCTTCACGGTAGATGATATAACTATCTTCATCAAGGCTATATTTATAAAGTACTTTTATAAACGGATGTTAAACTGCATCCCAAAACGAATAGGCTGAACCCTACCTGCGACAGCAGTCTGTGAGTGACAGCGAGCATCCTCATCAAATTCGTCTACAAGTAAAACAATATCAAATATAGAACTTATTTACGGTTTTGATTTCAGATCACTAAAAATGGAGAAAGACATATTCATCGACATTTACCTAACGTAATTATACACTCAGATAACATAGATAACATATCCATTGACCTTCACCTTGTAAACTAGTCCACAAAAATACTTCGCTCGTCACGGCGAAGACCAGGGTTCGATTCCTGACATGGGTACAATGTGTGAAGCCCATTTCTGGTGTCCCCCGCCGTGATTTTGCTGGAATATAGCTAAAAGCGGCATAAAACCATACTCACTCACTCACTCACAAAAATACACTTGGCTCCCACAGAACTGTCACCGACCTTCACCTTGCAGGTCAATGTAGACAAAGGTCGTATCGACGATGTTCTCGGCTGAGACACAGTACATGCCCAGGTCGTCGTCCGTCTCCACCTTCACAGCCAACACAGCTGTCAGACTGCCGTCCACTTCCCCTGGGATATCTGAAACAGTCATTTCCAACCTAGTCCAAAAAAATCTCAACACAACTCGCCGATTGTCACCCACGCCCCCTGGGGTATCTGAAACAATTACTAGTATGTAAACTTGGTGCCAAACACTTCCAACACAGAAGCCTACTTACAAAAGTGTCCATACAAATCCTTAATAAAGATCGCCTGGGCTGCTCTAAAGCCGGAAGATTCCAAGTATGTATAATAAAGTCACATAACCAAGAATTCCGTTTTAAAATTCTGTCATGAAGAGCCTCCACGTTAGTCACACCACGTCCTGCCATAATAACTGACAAAGAACTTGATCTACCATGATCCCAATCCCGTCTGTACCACGGACAGAGCTCCCCGCATAACTTGATGTACCGTGTTCCCAATCCCGTCTGTACCAGGGACAGAGCTCCCCGCATAACTTGATGTATCGTGTCCCCACTCCCGTCTGTACCAGGGACAGAGCTCCCCGCATAACTTGATGTACCGTGTCCCCAATCCCGTCTGTACCAGGGACAGAGCTCCCCGCATAACTTGATGTACCGTGTCCCCAATCCCGTCTGTACCAGGGACAGAGCTCCCCGCATAACTTGATGTACCGTGTCCCCACCCCCGTCTGTACCACGGACAGAGCTCCCCGCATAACTTGATGTACCGTGTCCCCAATCCCGTCTGCACAAGGGCAGAGCTTCCCGCTTAACTTGATCTTCCGTCTGTACCAGGGCCAGAGCTCCCTTCTCAACTTGATGTACCGTGTCCCCACCCCCGTCTGTACCACGGACAGAGCTCCCCGCATAACTTGATGTACCGTGTCCCCACTCCCGTCTGCACAAGGACAGAGCTTCCAGCTGAACTTGATCTTCCGTCTGTACCAGGGCCAGAGTTCCCTACTCAACTTGATCTACCGTGGCCCAACTCCCGTCTGCTTACCTTGACGCTCTGTGTCTCCAACGCTGTTGTTCACAGGGGTCAGAGAGCCACTTTCAATCTTCCACCAGCTGACCTCTGGTCGAGGGTCACCGGAGAAGGTCACCTCCATCTTGGCTGTTTGACCTGTCGCGGTCTTCAATGTCGGCGCGAAGGGTGCATCAACTTTCCTCTTCGGGCTGGCTGTAACACAAAGACGTTTCTCGCATCATACATTTTCTTTAAACCACTCTTCCTTTACAGTGTCATAGCCGCTGACGACCTTCAGATAAATGTGAGTGAATGAGGTCAAATTAAACGTCGTATCGGCATTATTTCAGCCATGTAGCAACGAGAACAAGTTGATATATAGGCAAGTGTGTCAAGAACAGAAAGGTATATTTACAAGCAAATTTGCCATGCATGTTTTGGCATAACAATATTATTTATAACAGTTTAAAACACTGGTAATAAGTCACCAGTAACCTAAGCTAAGCCACCTTGCCGGGGATCGTGGTGACTGACGGTGCCTCAACTTCCTGCACGATACCCCAGCAGGATAAACGTCATCACTTTAGCCACTGGTGGCTGTGCACAATAGGGGCGGTCGGGTAGCCTAGTGGTTAAAGCGTTCGCTCGTCACGCCAAAGACCCGGGTTCGATTCCCGACATGGGTACAACGTGTGAAGCCCATTCCTGGTGTACCCCGCCGTGATATTGGTAGTCGATATTAAAAAATACTCAGCAATGAGTTGGCTTCAAACACTGGTTGATGATAGTTACATCGATTATGACAGGAATTACGTGTCACACAGAGGGACAATACCTTAAACTCCTGGGCACAGCGTTCAATGATCTATGTTGATAAAAGCATCACAGACAATTTAAAAACAAGCATTTAGTTATACACATACATTTAAAAAAAATTAATGATATAGACCAGTTTCTTTCACTTAGCTTGGAATGAGGTGCCCGCTTACGCGGAGAAAAAGAGTCCTTTCAGATTTACTGTTTGATAATGTGAATCCTTTGCGATTGCTAAGTCCACACAGTCAAGCAAAATATGTGACGGTGAACCTTTCTTCACATGAGATACACTTAGGAGCCTCGTCCTGTTATAAGCAGATATTCATGGGTAAACCGACTGTGGCCTATACGAGTCTCAAAACGCCTCAGTCTTGACTGACAACCTGAGAAGGTATGGCAGATTGTTGATTTAAATTCTTGAAGTTTACTGATTCCCACCCGGGTGTCCCGCCTTTATTGCATAAGATCCCGAGGTTGGTTTGAAATCACTCTACGAGATAAGGAATGGAGATAGCGGTTTGTTAAGAGCTACTTAAGCTGCAGCATCGGCGTTTGGGTTATCTGCTATGCCTGCATGATTTCGTAACCAGCAAAAGACCATGTCACATTGGCCAGTAGAAAGATCATTTTAAAGTTCTAAAATGTCAAGGATTACAGGGTGATTTGGGGAGACACTTTTAAGTGCCTGAAGGCAAGACAATGAATCTGAAAAGATGATGAAATATTTACAATAGTTTTGTTGTTTCATATACTGTAGGTTCAAACTGTCAAGATAGCTTTGGCCTCAGTCATAAAGATTGAACTATTATCTGGTATTCCTTGGAAATAATTTTGGATCCAATGACGGTGGCACTTGCAACTTTGCCACTTTTTAGCTGGGTGAGAGTTAGGTCTATCTGCAGAAGTCGGTAAGGTGATATAGTATTGGTATCTATTCTAGCTGCAGTGATGTGGTTGAATTCTGATTCCGAGTGGTGCAACCAGGCTTAATAAGTTTTGAAACAGGTTCTCATGAGGAGGGTTGAAAGTACAATTATATGCTGGATTTGACTGATTTGAATGCAATTTAGCGGTGTATTGCAGTGATAGTTCAATGCGAGAATTCTGGTATCGACTATCACACAGACCTCTTAATAGTCTTATGGGCGTAGTCAGTTTCATCGTCACGCCCTGCGGGGGCACGGGTGGCCCAGTCGTATAAGGCGCCGCGATTCGCTGTGCAGAGTTGCGTCTCTTGGGCACGCCAGAAACATATGATTGTGGGTTCGAATCCTGTTTCGCCCCGATTATGTTTCTATGTTTGTCAGCACAATACCCGTGCTGGTGGGTTTCACCGAAGTGGTAAACGTCTGAGACCTGCATCACTTCGGGCTTTCCTCCCACATTAAGCTGACACGCCGTGATATAACTTGGATACTGTTAAAAGCGGCGTTAAACCCAACTCACTCACTCACGTCATGACCTGCATCACATGCGTACACCGTCAATATCTGTAACAAACCAAATATGTACCCCTATTATCCTACCTGTGAACGAATTTGTTGCCAATATAGCTGAGACTCGATGCGAAGAAAGAAAACTTCTCAGAATAATATTATTGTTACGACATTTGTGACACTCTGGGGAGGCTGTCGCAGGAATTGCCTTCGAAGATGCATGTTCAGTGATTGTAAAATCTACTTGTATAGTTTGAAATTTCTTTTCGTCATATTAAAACTCTTAACACCTTTTTGTTCCTGATGGTGGCCAAACAGACAACTGGTTTAATAATATGATTATAAGAATGGTAATTTGTGTTTTTTTTGCGGGAGAAATACAAAAGTGCTAATATAGATAAAATGATGCGGCAGACGTCTGTACTTTTGAAATAAATCAGGTTTCTGCAATAAAACGTAAACATTGTTCGAGTCAACAGCTGTAATAAAACCATTATTAAAAAAAAACCCTGCTATGTTATTATTCTGACTTGGGCGATGGGGTAGCCTTTTTGTGGTTAAAGCGTTCGCTCGTCACGAAGAAGACCCAGCCCATTGCTGGTGTTCCCCGCCGTGAATATTGCTAAAAGCGGCGTAAAACCAAAATCACTCACTCATTGACAAGGAGGCAACATTGTAGCTGATATCAGCTGACTTTTATTGCTTTGTTTACATACACCATATTAAACTCTGAATTATTGTAAATGACACCAATTCTCTTCCGCATAGGCTTTGAGCCGGTGTCAAAAAGCAAGAGGTTATTTCTATAAAAGTAGGGCTATGCTTGCCGTACCAGAGTCGCTGAGTACTCTTACGGGAAAGGGCGAGATTGGCCGATTGATTCAGTATGCCACAGCATACATGCTTAGATAATATGTCTCTAAGTGCTACTTATTTAGCAGGAAATTATGTGATAGGAGTTATCATGAACGCCCCCCAAAACCCGACATAATGTGATTCTCCATCACGACCATACCAGCTGTGGTCATAGCAACATCAAGGGTGGATAACTCTAAATAACAGTACAAAACCAGTCTGTAAAGCCCCGGAGCTGTCGTTTGTGGATCAAATCAGGCCACGACAGCACTTGATATTTTGTAGTGGTGAGTAAGTTGGGGTTAGCGCCACTTTGAACAGTTTTATCACGACGAATCAGCTTATGTGGGGGGAAAGCCCAAAGTGATGCAGGCCTCAGACGTTTACCACTTTGGTGAAACCGACGAGCACGGGTATGGTGCTGATAAACCTAGAAACATAATCGGGGCGAAACAGGATTCGAACCAACAATCATAGGTTACTGTAGTGCCGAAGGTACGCAACTCTGCAAAGTGAATTTTGCTACCTTGGGCGACTGGGCCACTCATGACCACTTGTACTTGTCATTTGATCAACAGCTGCCAATGATGATTACTGCAAATATATTTACACCTCCAGTAATACTACACACAAGTTACAAGTACCTGTTAGGACATTTTGTGAAGAAAAAATAGTGACGTTAAATTAGCGCGATAATATAACCGTTGTTTTATTTTAGGATACCAGAGCGTCCTTTTAATATGCGCGGGATGGGGGTTGGGAGTTGGGAGTTGGGTGGTGGGTGAGGGTGTATTTTCTATAAAACAAACGATTAATTTTAAACACCACTGCCAACAAACTATTCATTTTGGGCTTATTTCTGCACAAACTATGCATTTACCCGCCCCTCACCACACCTAAAAATTTTTTTAAAAAGAATGTTTTTAATTATTTTTTAAAATAACAACAAAAAACAAATGGACGCTGGCGTTTGGAATGGCTACCGATAAGAAGAGTCTTGCGATTGATAATTTCGCAATTATGTCTATTTTACCATGTGTATCGTCACAGGTCAATGCTCCAGTCTCCTAAATGTCATGTAAATGTATGTGTGCTTCACTGGAGTTTAAAGTGACTTACGACTAAAATTACGACTAGAGCTATAAGAGCTATTCTTTAAGTTGTGTTAAACGTATCCCAAAGATATCTTACTCCTAACACAAGTATTAGCTGAGACAGTGAGCTTTCTTTGCGACGGAGGTTTTCCAATGACGTCATTGATTATTTAGGGAATATCCAAGATGGAAATTATTCATATATGCATAATTATGTATTAAATCATGAATATCAAAGTATTATTATACATTTTTAAAGATACAAAATGTCCCCGTAAAAGATAAATATTTATGTTTTGGATGCTGGTGTCGATTCTGTTTTCGCCAGAAGACGATTTTATTCATATGATTGTCATGTACAATTGATCAATGAAGGTTGATATGTTTGTTGAAATTATAGATAGATCCAGCAAGCATTGGAGATAAATATATAGAATTCGAAACGAAGATGCCGAAGGTAAAAAGAAAATTCTTACAAGAAATATCCATCTAATTAAGAAGCGATGAACGCAAGCTCGCACCGCGTGGAAACACCGATTTTTCACTCAGGGAGCGTTACGTTGCAGGATGTGGCATATACGCCCCAAGGATTATCTCCCAAAACCCCTACATCCCATTTCCCCTACAACCCAGTTCCCCTACAATTAGTTAAAACTACACGCGGCATTTACCTGTCTGGCATTATGAACTCACCTAAAGGAGAGTTTAAGGTCTGGAGTAGAGGTAGTAGAAATGAAAGGGGTAGAGCTTTAGGGGATTAGGGGACTTAAAGGAAAGTATAATGTATTATGAATTTTGAAAAATGAACATGTTATTATAATGTATTATGAATTTTGAATAATATCGTTATCGTTATTAAATATTTATCTCAATCTATTCGTGTTTCTTGGGTTGTTCTATTGTATGAAATAGGTAACAGACTAGGGATTAGCAGTGCCATGGACCGTGAACTATGTTGTCTTAAGCTGTAGGGGAAATGGGATGTAGGGGTTTTGGGAGGTTGCCGCCCCAA